GATTCCCAATTCACATCTAACCATAGTTCCTGGACTGTTACACATACATAGTTCTCATGTCATTCAATTATGTACCCCTTCAGAAATTAACTAGTAAATTTAGGAGGCTGATAGAAATTAGAAATTAGTAATTATTCTTTTTATTTACAGGAATGGAATAATTTTCAACTGATATTTTTGAAAGTGAGATAAGTAATTATTCTACCTTACAAATTAGTCAAGTGATCCCTAGAGATGTTTAGTGAGAAGTTATATTGGACAATGGCATAATGCTATGTTTGCATAATTCCCCTCCCTCCCATCCTTATCTCTGCTCCTACCGGGCCTTATCTATGGCTTCTCTGATCTGATAGTTTGAATTTTATTATGGTGTCTAGAAGGCTTTAGGATAGTTTGGCCTGGCCCTTTATATTCTGGATTTCGTCTTTGTTTTTTCTTTCTTGTTCCTTGTATATCCTGCTAAATTTGCATATTTCAATTTATTTTTTAAGGAAATTCCTTTCCCTTTCCTTCAATCTTCTCCCTCAGTTATGTTCTTGCATGTTTTTTAACTTCATAGAGAGAAACCTTGCAGCTGTTATTCTTTCCTCTTCACCTGCTTCTTCTTAGTAGCTTTGGATTTTTGCAGATCTTACTGTTTCCTTTTTTTTGGCACACATCTCTCTTCTTTTATGCCCATGTGATAACAATTGATTACCAATTTATGGTTGAGGTGAATCTATTGGCATGTCAATTCACATTTCTGGAAATAACTGTGTTGCTTGGTGATCTTCACTTCATTGTGAACAGTGAGTGGATCTGCATCTGAATTGCTCAAATTTCTGCCTGCTAAATGCTTTTCAGGTCTTTCCCTGTGTTTCTGCAACATGTGGCCATTTTTACCATCCACATTGTGTTGCAAAACTGCTCCATCATGGGAGTGCTGCTGAGGCAGAAGAGCTTCAGAAGAAGATTGCTGCTGGGGAATCTTCCACATGTCCTATTCATAAATGCTCTGTCTGCAAACTGGGTGAAAATAAGATGGATCCTGATTTGCAATTTGCTGTATGTAGGCGTTGTCCCAAGTCATTCCACAAAAAATGCTTGCCTATGTACTACTTAACTGTGTCCATTTTTTTATTTTATTTTTGAACGTCAGCATGTAATCTTCTTGTATAAATTTAGCTACTACTTTGTAGCTGTTGATGCTTGCTTTACTTTGATCAAGAAGATTGCTTTTGAAGATGATGAGGATCAGGGCATCGTACAAAGGGCTTGGGAAGGTCTTATTCTAAACCGTATTTTGATATATTGCTTGTAAGTGCTCTTTTGTTTCTAGCAGCTCTTCTTGATCTTCTCCACCTTTTGTTTCTAGCCGCTCTTCTTGATCTTCTTCACAATAGCTTGGAAAATATTCACCGACCTTTTCCCTTTTTTCCAAAGAACATCTGATTGATGATGAACTTTGTACTCCGGATAGAAACCACATAAAGTTCCCAGATGATGGACAACAAAAGAAAAAACAAGCATCACGACAACTGTCAAGCAAAGTTAAAGTTCTGCAGAAGGAGAGAAGTCTGGCCTCATAAGATGCTCCCAGAAAGAGAACTCTTGAGAAAGTGCAGAAAGGGGTTGATTTGTCTTTAAAAATCAAAGAGGGCAATTCTTTTGAAAAAATGGTGAGATTATCGACTGGTCTTGATACTTCAAAGAAACAAAAAGTGGCAGATACATCCAGAAGGCATTTGAACAACACTACTACAACAAAAGTTGGGAAGTCTACCACCAATGCGAATAGGGCTTCCTTGAGAGAGAGGTTGTATGCCTTGATTAACAAGGATTCTAGGAACGAGGACACATCTGATAGTGAACATAAGCAAACCCTGCCTGACAAGCGTGTTGGAAAGGAAATGAGCAGTTCAGTGCCTCTAGATGATGATAGAAAACGGAGGTAACAGACATTTATTACATCATCTCATTGTTACATTGTGTTTATGTCTCTTTGCTGGTTAGTCTGTGAGTATTTGAAATTTATTTGATTTCTGTGGGTTACCATTAACAGTATTAGTATTTTAGCTAATCACGAAAGAAAATCATTGACTCTCATGATTTTCTTGTGTGGTGGGATATGTACTTGATAATTGTTGTGATAAGAGTTCACACTTGATCTAGTCTGCAAGCAGCATGGTCTGCAATTTCTCAATAGCATTTTTATTTTTATTTTTTCTAACATCTGAAACATGCCTTTTAAGTAGTTTAAGATGCACAACCACGAGAAGTTGAATGAACTGTGAGGGAAAGAAAAGGCGGTAGTACAAAGTTGTGGCCTAACAGTTGGTAGGTAGCATAGTGCTAGAATTCTGTGTTGGAAAATCAGAAAATTGTGTCACTGGGCAGTTTAGCTTTATGTTGAAGTTTCAAGTAAGTCCTGATTTGACATGTTTTTTAACTTGATTAGTCGAGGTGTGTGCAAACTAGTCCGTCCAAATATCCGATTATGAAAAAAGAAGAAAAAGTCCTGATTTGGGCATGTTTTTCAGCTTGAGATCAAGCAGTTGGTAGGTAGCATAGTGATAGAATTCTGTGTTGGAAAATCAGAAAATTGTGTCACTGGGCAGTTTCTCTGGTATTTCAACTCTCTTGCTGAGCTTTATGTTGAAGTTTCAAGTAAGTCCTGATTTGACATGTTTTTTAACTTGATTAGTCGAGGTGTGTGCAAACTAGTCCGTCCAAATATCCGATTATGAAAAAAGAAGAAAAAATCCTGATTTGGGCATGTTTTTCAGCTTGAGATCAAATTAGTTGAATTGTTTTCTTTAAGCAACATTTGGATTAGATATGAGTATGAAATTAGCAGGAATTGTGTAGGAAGTTATCTTTGGAAGGCTTGATTCTCTATACCTAACCTGTACCTTATAAAACTTCTATGGAAAAATTTTAGACTTTCTTTTCTGCCCAGTGTTGCATCCCTTGTTCCAATTTGCTCATAGTAGCTTTAGACATGTTTGCATCCCTTGTTCCAATTTGTTTTCTTTATGCATGTTTGTTCATTTTTGCTCATAGTAGCTTTAGGCATCTTTTTCTTTTCCTTTTACGTTATTTTGCATAATTTTTACTTTCTATAATTTATTTCTTTTTAATCAAAGTATAGGAATTTAGTTGGATTTGCATCTTTTATTGAATTGGGCTTGTACACTTGTTTAAATGGGTATTTCAAGCTTCAACGATCTTGTATTCTCTTTCTTGTTTTTTTATGGGTTTTGTAGCCTCTTGCCTGGATTTGAGTTCATGAATACTCTTTCTTGTGTGAAATTGATCATACGTTGAAAAAATTGTTGGCAATTTTTGCAATTTTTTTAGAAAGAATGGTGTTTGTCGAATTGGAGAGCATTAGATGGTGCCATCAATTATTTTTTTTATTGTCAATTAAAGGTCTAGATTTGTTCATCATAGACCTGTTCAACATTGGCCCGGATTTTTGGTTGGATTCAAATTTAAATTTGTATGTGATGGCAAATCTCAATTTGATAAGATTATACACATTCTAAAAGAAAAAATATGTTAAAGACCCTTCAGAAGTCTTGCCTAATTTGACATACATTGGTACAACATGCTACAAATCAACTTATTTATTTATTTGGGAGAGATACAAATCAATAGCGTTTTTATTTTTATTTTTTTCTTTATATGTATTTAGTGCTTCTTGGTATGTGATAAAATCTCCTTGTTAGTGCTTCTTCAAGTTTTAAGTACTGTTTATAAGTATTGAGTACAAATTCTTCAATTTGTGTTTATTTTGGTGAATCTGATTGCAGTTTGTGTTCTAATGCAGGCATGTAGACCAGTGAAGACTACAACTTTAATGCTAAGACATGATTTTTGGATATATGTTAGTTTATGGTTAATGTTAAGACATGATTTTTGGATATATGTTAGTTTGTGGTAAATGTTAAAACATGATTTTTAGATTTTGGATATGTTAATTTTGTGGGCAATGGTGATTGGATATTAATTGAATGAGAAAGTGAATTAATGCTTTATTACAACTATTTGAATGGGAGTTATTATTTTATAGTAGTGCTATTACAAGTATTTTTTTAGTTCAATCAAATAGAATTAGCACAATTTCAAAAAAAAAAAAAGAAAAGAAAAAAGGGATATGACGGCGTTTCTACAAACACCTTTTAAACCCTACATATTAACGGTCATATGTTTTTAAAAAGATATGACGGCGTTTTTCCAAAACGTCGCTAAATATCGTCAGTGACGTCAGCGTGTGTTTAGGAGGACATTAAAACGCCGCCTATACTAATATCACGACGTTTTTAAAACGCCATAAATCTATAGCGACGGCCGCGTCCTCAGCGTTTGGTGCTAAGCGTCATAAAAAGAATTGGCGGCGTTTTTTGCACTTTTAGCGGCGTTTTTTAAACGCCACTAAAAGTTGAATTTCCTACAGTGTATAGGGTATTACTTTTGAGCTTGATGAATAGATGGCTGCAGATGACGACGAAGGGAGGCATTGCAAGAAATTATCAACAATACTAAGTTAAGTGAAGGTTATCTTACACTTGCTCGTGATATAGAGGTCATGGAGCCCAAATCACCTAAGGATAATTATAAGGTTAGGACTTCTTAGATATCCATACTAGCTCTTGATTTGTCCTGTTATCTTGATAGTTATAATTACTGTTGCATGTTTTAAAGGGGTTTGTATGTGTGTTATTCCTAGTTGTTTCTTCATCAAACTAGCTATTCTTGCTTGGATTTAATTAGGTACATTTGCTCGATGGCCGAGCTAGTGCTGGTGCAAGTGTTGATTCAGCCAGATAGAACTTGGCAGCTACATTTGTTAATGCATTTGTGAATGCTGGCTTTGGTCAGGTAAAAGGGTGGTTCATTTGCGTAAGAAATTTTGGAGGCAAACATTTTAGGGATGGCTTCATGTAACATTTGCTGCTTATATTGTGGCAGGATAAGCTAATGACAGTCCCATCAGAGGCTTCAAGTGGTGGTTCTTTAGGAACTGGCTCTTTAAGAATAAAGAACACGGAAAAGTCAGTGCTGCAGCAAGTCTGGTATGTTCCTCTCCCCTTTCAGTCTATTTGCTAGTCCAAGTTTCTTTATTGCTGGATTATCACCATTTTTCCTTGTAGGGTATGATTATGCTTTGGGATGTTGATTCTGGACTTGCCCAACTTGACAAGTATTTCCACAGTAATGACAACCATGTCATAGCCGATGCATTGTTGGGAGTTGGTATTGTGAACTGCGATATCAAGAATGACTGTGATCCTGTGAGTTCTACTTTGGCATTTTCTGTACACAAGTCCTGTGACTGTTATGTATTTGGAAATCCTAAATTTTCTTTTTTCAGGCATTGGCATTTCTTGCTGATTAAATAGATAAAGAGGATTCTTCTGTCAGAATTGGTGCAATAATGGGTCTAGGCCTTGCTTATGCTGGTGCCCAAAATGAGCAGGTGAGGTTCCTTGCATTTTTAACTGGTGGTTTCTTGGTAGGCCATGGAAACAATACTATGTCTGATTCAAGAGGCACATCAGTAGAGTCATTCTGTCTATTCTACCATAGATTGTTAATTTCATTACAGAAGTTACAGAATACACACAAATAGAGAGGGAGAGATAAAATTTGATGAGTACTGGAAGATATCTTCCCTTCTCTTTGTACATGTTTAATTAAAGTTAATGCTGATTAATTTATAATTTTTCTCAGTTCCATAGTTAATTGTCTCGTATCCGTGGAATGCAAAAACATCATTTGACTTGTTCCTCTACTTTCTTTGTTTGATATGTTTATTTCCCGTTGAAGCGAACTAATCTAAATTGTTTGTCAGATCCGTAGTAAATTGACTCCTATCCTTGGAGATAACAAAGTGCCTCTTGATATGATTGCGTTCACTGCTATTTCATTGGGCTTCGTATATGTTGGTTCCTGTAATGAAGAGGTTGCTCTGGCAATTATATTTGCATTAACGGACCAAAGCGTTTTGTACATCACCAAATGGGGTCAGATTGGCACGAAACTTGGCACACACGACCACCGAATCATCATCTAGGACAAACATTCACTTGGAGAACGAGGGCCTACCCAAACACCAACGACTAACCCTGTAGACAGGCCCGTGGGCCTCACGCTACAGTTCGGACTCAATTTTCGTGTCACGGTTCTTAATCTGAACCAAAGAGTCCAAATCCGGCAAATCGTTTTGAGAAAACTGATTTTTGAAAGAAGTGCCAAACATGGACTGCTTTGCCAGATACAGAGTCGCCACCTAAATATTTTATTTTGGTAGTAGTGGCAATGGTATTTAGATTGAGCCTGATGAAGGTCCTGTACGAGCCACCATACAAGAAGTAGCAGTAGCAGTAGCAGCAGCAAAAGAAGAAGAAGATGAAGAAGGCATACCCATTCCAATGATTACCAAGGAGGATCCAATTGAGACTATGGGAAAGCTGTGTCCCAGAAAGACTTCAGCCAGACAACCAAGGGAGAAGACTCCTCTCCCACCTCCTCGTATGACCAAGCAAACAAAGGAAGCAGCGAAGAAGGTGGCCAAACAACAGCAGACAATAGAGGAGGAAGTTGATGAAAAAAGCCCTACCACCTTAAATGATACTGAAGAGTGGCCAGTAAATTCAACTCCAGTAGACGGTGGTTGTGGATAGGCCTTTGCACCTTGTCCTTTCTTTTCATCATACTATTAATTTTGACATTTTTGTATATTCTCTATGAACAAATTATGCTAGAAATTAAGGTGGACAAAGAAAGGTTGGCTGCTAATGATGCTAAGGAGGACTTCTGGCAGGCTATTGCCAAGCTGAAAAGCTTATATAACAGTTTCAAGAAGAGGTTGAATGATGAAGGAAACAAATCCTCCTGGTGTAAGGAAGGCTTCTTTGAGGAAGGTGAAGAGGGGAAATACAAGGATCAACTGACCAACCCACAAGATGCCATCTTCACGAACAATTGGGAAGGAATTTTGAGGAAGGTTGGGTGGCAGAGGACTCTCTTCTCTTCTCCGAAGTCCCACTCCCGGCCTTGTTGAGCAGCAGCTGCCCACTGCTGAAGAAACTATTGACGACGGTGACCATGGTGGAGGGAGTGTTGCAGACTCCAATGGATAGCAAGAGGCTGTTAAGAAGAAAACTTTAATAATAATGGTGCATGTTTTGAGACTAAGACACATTTTTCTTTTCGAATAATACTCTCAATTTATCCACAATGATATGGCATGTTACATTACTACAAGAATCTGCACTTTTAGCGGCCACTTTCCGCGACCAATATAAAAGTTGGTAGTTAAAAGTTACCTTTTGGCAACCAAATATTAATTAGTCACGAATGATCATTATTTTTGGCAACCAAATATGAGTTGGTCGCGGAAGGTCATATTTTAGCGACCAAAAAATGAGTTGGTCGCAGAAAGTGGTATGCTTTTGGCGACCAAAAAATAAGTTGGTCGCGGAAGATCAAAAATAAGTTGGTTGTAGAATTGGCGACCAAAATTTTAGTCGCAAAAAATTTATTTTCCCCGACCAAAAATATTTTAGTTACCGTATATTGAGTTTTGCCTACTAAAACAATTTAGTTGCCGAATGGAAAATACAAAAATTATTATTTTTCTTTGGCGACCAAAAATTGGGTCGCCAAAAACTTTTTTCAACAACCAAAAAAAATTAGTCGCCAAATTAGTACTTTTAGCGACTAATATTTTAGTCGCCGTTGATTGACATTTGGCGACTAAAAAAGTTTGTCGGCGAAGGTAGCTTTTTTGCAACTGATCTGGTCTTTTGGTCGCCAAAAGTTTGGGAGGGAAATTTGAAACGTGGAGGCGGGAATTAAAGTTTTTTTGCAACAAAAAAATTTGGTCGCCGATTGTTAACACTACAACTATTTTTCATTTGGTTTCAATTTTTGAAAACTATTTTTCAAGTTTCAATCCTTATTTTTTTAATTTTTAGTGAATTTTTTTAATATTTTAATTATTTTTTTAATTGAGTAAAATATTGAAAAATTTCAGTTACTAATTTTTTTTAATCAGGGTATATTGATTATTGGCCACTAAAAAAAAAATTTAGTCACCAAAAAATGAGTTTTGGCAGCTAAAATTATTTAGTCATCGAATGAAAAATAAAAATTTACTTTTTATCTTTGGCGATCAAAAGTTTAATCACAAAAATTTATTTTCAACTATTAAAAGAATTTATAATTGCCAAAAAAATAAATTTTAACTACTAAAATAATTTAGTCGCCGAATTAAAAAAATATATATATATTTTGAGCGTCAAAATTTTATTTCCAGCTCTTAAAAAAATTTTAATCGCCAAAATATTTAGGGGATAAAAGCGTTTCGACCTTTCTTTCTCTCCTTTTTTATCTCTATTTTCTCTATTTTCTCAACCTCTCGCTCTCTCTCTCTCTCTCTCACTTTCTCTCCATTTATATATTTTTTAGGATTTCAGTCGCCTAAAAATGAGTTTTGGCAGCTAAAATTATTTAGTCATCGAATAAAAAATAAAAATTTACTTTTTATCTTTGGCGATCAAAAGTTTAATCGTCAAAAATTTATTTTCAACTATTAAAAGAATTTATAATTGCCAAAAAAATAAATTTTAACTACTAAAATGATTTAGACGCCGAATTAAAAAAAAATAAAAAATTTTGAGCGTCAAAAATTTATTTCCAGCTCTTAAAATTTTTTAATCGCCAAAATATTTAGGGGATAAAAGCGTTTGACCCTTTCTTTTTCCCCTTTTTTATCTCTATTTTCTCAGCCTCTCGCTCTCTCTCTCTCTCTCTCTCTCTCACTTTCTCTCCATATATATTTTTTAGGGTTTCGTTCTACTTCTCAATGGAAAATCCAGAGGAATCGAGCCCCCTTACTCCAAGGCACTCAGCGTAGACGACGATGAGAAGAGAGCTACCAAGCCACCAAGCCAATCGCATCTCCGCCTCCTCCTATGCCTGCTGCGGCGGCGGAAAAGCATTCTCCGCCGGCAGCTTCCGGCAACCCCTATTGGACCGACGACGGATTGCCGCTAGGGCACGGCAGCGTCATGGACTAACCTCTGCGTCGAGCTCAGTGGGACTCCAGCCTCTTCGCTTTTCTCGGTCGCAACGATGAGTTCTGCAGCAGCGATCTTGAGGTTTGTGAGTTAAAATTTTAAGTTTTGTGAGTTTGATGCTCAATGTTGATGGGTTTTCCTATTTAATTTTCCCAATTTGATCGCTAATTGTTAATTTTTCCCATTGTGAAATTGGCTAATGAAGTCGAATATTACATATGTATGTTTGCATTGGTATGTTTATGCGTGTGTAAATGCATTGACTATTAAGGGATAGAGAGGGAAATTGATTGGCTGGTGAATTATTTATTTATTTATTGTTAAAAAATTATGGAGTCTGATGTAATTGGACCTGGTGATATCATTCTGTGTGTAGATTGATATGATTGTTGTGGGATATATGATTGCAGATTCAAATATGAAATATTTTTGATACATTAATTGATTATTATCACTATTAGTTGTAGCTGAAATATTTATGAATTGGGAATTAGTTGAGCTCTCTGGCCTCTAAATCTCACAAGGGCTTTCCGTCTCCCATTAACCGATCGGGGAGAATGGTGCATTCTCTCCTATATCTCTATAACCCATATAACATTTTTCTTAACGATCTGGTTTTCTTCTGAAGACGTTCTTATTATAGTCTGCAAAATCTTAGCTCCCTCGGCTGTACCATTAAGCTTGTTGCCTGTACTTAGAATCGTATGACTGTTTGGAGATTAAGTACTGGCCTAAGATGGCTTATAAATGCCGCTATTGTTTTGGTGTTCTGGAAACAAAACTAAAATAAATGGAGTGCAGTTAATGCCAAGCTATTGACAACTAAAGTATTATATACTTATATAAGTATTCAGAGAACTTTGTATAAGAATTTGGAATGGTTCTTAATTTCTATTACTTATGCAATGGTTTTGAAAGCCTTCACAAACATGAAGGAAATGACATGGAAAATGTCAAATAATTGGTCACCTTGAGGAAGAAATGTTGTCAATTTTTCTAATTATTTTGTTTGTGATATTGCAGGTGGACGTTTTCGTTGGTCACCATATATTTTGGGGTACGTTATCCTTATGATCTTCCTGTATATGTTTGTCTTTATTTTTTTTCATTTGAATTTGATGGATATCAAGCGGTAATGAACCTCCTGATTTTTAATTCTTCTGATCTTTTTGGACTACTAAAAACCTAGCCTTCATTTTGTTTATATGTGTTTTTTCCCATAAATGATAAGAATCCTGCCTTTGTCAAGGGTGGGTTGGTTCATGGGTAAGGGGGATGCTAGTGTGTAGCCCAGCCATTGGACCTGGAAAAATAAGAAAAAATTCTTCAACCATGACAGATAATAAGAATGATGGCTATTGATATATCAACTCTTTTTTATATTTGCTTTTTACTTGAAATTTGTGTTCTTTGCTGATTTTTTATTAGTATTTCCATTTTCACGCATATATATGTGCTCAATTCCTTTTTGTGGCTTGCATCTTTATTCTCCATATACGGGTGTTGCCAATATTGCAATGATGTTGGTGGTGATGGGGTTGATCGTGAGGCTTTAGATGCAGAGCAGGGTACTTATGTCCCTCCAGCATTGGAGGAAGATGGCAATATGCTAAATATGTCCAAAAGCTTGAATTCCCTTGAAGAACCTCGTGTTTGCAAGGCTGCAGGCATATGTAGCTATGTATTTCAAATCATTTACTAGGTAAGCATTCTCTAACAATATTGGTTTTTCCTTAATTACGTACAAATTTTAAAACATAATCATATCCAATATTTTCATTTTGTTGTCATCTATTGATTCCTCATATTAAGTAAAGGGTGGGGAATGAATGTAGCAATGTCATTTTTTGAGATTGTTCCATCGTATGGAAGGGGTCAGGTTGAAGGCATTGATTACGACTTCTGTTTAAATATTATTCATTTGAATTTTAGATTCTAGAAGTGAATTGAATGAGGTGGGTAGTTTAAATATTATTCATTTTTTTAAAAAAATTTAAATTGTATTTCTTTATTTTTATTTACTTTTTATTTTTATGTCCAATACACCTACTTAGACATACAATAAACAAGTACATGTAAATAATCAAATTTACTATATGAGTAAGCACTTCACTTTTATGCATAAAATGCTATATTTTAGGAAAATACTCTATATAAACAGATTTTTTTACTAGAGTGCTGCTATACGTAAATGGATTTTTTTTATCAAGTTTTTATTTTTTATTTTACACAGTTAATAGTCCAAATTAATAAATACAAGTGAGACCCATTGTTTTGTGTGTAACAGTAAAAAAATCTAGTGAAAATCTGTTTATGTAAAGAATGTCCTAAAAGATAAAAGAAGTATTTACCAAATGTAAACCTAATTGTATAATGATATCTTGACTTAAAAATTAGATAAATCCCTCACCTAGAAACATATTAAAACGACATTGACACATACCATATCTGAGTCTATGTGACTTAGAACCAAGTTGCAAACAAGCAATTATGTGCACTTTTTGCAAACAATACATGATCGTATAGATGATTATGTCTTATTTGTTTCTAAAAGACTATAACTTTTGGCAGCAACAGCAGCAACAACATTTCAAATTTTAAGGAAATTGTGGGGTCTGGGGTAAATTGAATTTTGTACAAATATTAAAGTATCTTTTGTTTGCTATATATTTTTTCCTATAAGTTTTTCTCATTTCTTCCATTGTATTTGTATTCATTGAGGAGAACGCTAAAAAGGATGAGACTGTCGCAGATTCTTCCTCAAAGAAGGTTGACTCAAATTCTGAAGAGGAAGAGCAGGATATCCATCAAAAAGAGGATATCCATCAAAAAGAGAGAGGTGTCTCTAATAAAAAGAAAAAGGTTTGATTTTCAGTATCTTGTTTTTTGATTGTTGCCGTTATTATTATGTCTACCTTGAACATTTGGGCTAAATTTTTTGCACATGGTCTTTCAGCTAATATGTTAGTTTGGATCAGCTGCCAATCAAGTTGATATGTTAAATCAAGTTTTGTGTCATGTTGTACTTCAAAGAGGATATAGCTTTTGAGAAGACATGCTTACTAAATTCAATTTGACTTGAATATGCCTTGTGCTGCACTACGGTTACATATTTTCATCTTTATTTTAAATGGAATTCAATTATTGTTTGATGATTTAGTGAAGTTACAAGAAAAGAAATTTGTTAATTATTGTTCTTAAGCTTTTTCTTTTTTAAATGTTATTGTTCCTTAGTTGTGGTTGGGTTGAATGAATTTTGTTCGATATTGGATTGAATGTTTATAAACAAAAATTGATTGTTCTAAGAGATTTGGCGACTAAAAAATTGGTCGGCAAATTATACACTTTTGCGACTAAAATCATTGGTTGGCAATTCCTTACCTTTTGGCGACTAAAATGTTAGTCGGCGATTTCTCGACTTTTGGCGACTAATCTGTTTGGTCGTGGAATGTGACAATTTGCAACTAAGATATTTGGTCGGGAAAATATTACTTTTTGCAACCAAAGTGTTTTACCGACAAAATGGATTAGCCGCAATAATGATATATTTAGCGACTAAAAATTTAGTCGGCAAATTTAACTTTTTTCGACTGGAAAAATTTTGGTCACGAATTATTTTTGCCAACCCTCAATTGGCGATCAAAGTAGCGACTAAAAAAATTAGTCGCAGACAACTTTTGCCAACTAAAAATGAACTTTTAGTGACTAATTTTTTGGTTGGCAAAGGTGTTATTTTTTGTAGTGCATGTCAACTTTTTATTTATCACAAACTCAACCATTGCCATGTCATTGTAGATAAATTGTGAATTCTAAATTGGAACACATTTCTTGTGTACTGAATCTTAGGTCAAGTTTGGGAACTTGTAAAAAAGTCAAAAAGTTAAAAAGTTACTTAAAAAGTTAACACTATTTATCAAAAATCAATAATTACGACTGCACAATTCTTAATTCGAATTTTTCCTTATAAATCAATTTTTACAATTTTTTATTACACATTTTTCTATAAAAAGTTAAAAAGTTGACTCAAACATCCATATTTTCAACTTTAATTTTTTAGTTCAAAAAAATAAAAAGTGCACTTATTTAAGACGCTCCAAACAACTCCTTATTAGTGGTTTTAACAATAGCTAATTTAATACTTAAAAGTTAAGCTCTATGTAAGGTCTAACTTTTGGTTTTTAGACCCTTTATATATATATATATATATAAAATCAGCCTTAAAGTTAAGTTCCCAAATGAGACCTTAATGTCAACTATATGCAATTCAAAAATTCACATCCATCCAAAAACACCCTACAAGCACCTAGATATAAAGGTTCATCGACCAATCTGGGTTAGTTTGGATGCTAAGATTCTCCAAATGGAGGTTTTAACTAATATTAAGAAAAGTCCTTTCTTCAAATTTGAGAACTGCTACAGTTCCGTAACAAACATGTTAACTTTTCTCACCAAACTAGTTCATACTATTTTAAGAAGGAAATTACTAATTAAATTTGTATAATCTAGATTATCTAACATATCATTAATATAATTAATCTATTCAATCTTTCTTGTGACATAGTCGGAAAGTAAGATTTAATCAATTCAACTTCAAAAATAACACTTTTCAGAAAACAATTATAATTAATATAATCAACAATATTCTATAAATAATTCATACATTTGTAAAATAGCAGTCTATTACTTTCAAATATTTACAATTGGGTTTTTGGGCCCTTAAGTTCAAAGTTTAGACTTGGATAAATTGGATTGGACCCTCATTTTTTATCAAGTCTTAACAAAAATATTTTTATTTTTGAGCCTAGTATAAATGTTGGACTTATCTAAAAAGCCAGACATCTATTCCCAATATGTTTTTTGAAATATTAACTTACCTAGAGAGGGTGAATAAGCCAATTAATAAAAATTCTTATTAATTACTCAATTTTTAGCCTTTAAACGATTAAACACATATAAGGAATCACATAAAAACACCAAGATTTTATGTGGGAAACCCAAAAGGATAAAAATCAGGTCTTAACACCCAACAAAAATCCACTAAGAAAACTCAATAATATAGGACTTAGACAAAAGGACTTGTAACTATTCACCTAGGTTTACCTAGGAGTGTAAAATGGCCCGCCAGCCTGAAGCCCGCCTAAGGCCTAGCCCGACGAGCCTGGTCTAGACCCAACCCGATGCCCAACATCACTTGCAAGCAATTTTGGTGAAATTTTCTTTTTAAAAAAAAGTCAGTCCTAAGGCTCGAAACCCGATTACCCATGGGTCTGAGCCTATATTTTTTAGAATTAGGCCACCCCGGCCTGGTCCAATTTTTTGCGAGAGCCAAGCGGGCCAAGGCCGGGCTAGGCCATTTTCACACCACTATGTTTACCTAACTCCGTTGACAAATGCATCTGTTTATCCAAAATTATCAAGCATAACTGCAAATACATTTGGTGTTGAGAGAAAAAGAAAAAGAGTAATCGCGAATATTAGAGTCTTTCTTTGTTTAAAGTATTGACAACTTTTCCTGGAGTGATTCTAATTTTAACCATGTATATCAACCATCAAATGTTGGATTTTATTTGCATTGCTACACCAAAAATGCATAATGTTTTTACATACTCGAGAACATACAACCAACACCCAAATGCAAAAATCAAAGCAATCTTTTACTTTCATGATTCCAAATATCATGCCACATATGTGATTATAGACAGACCTAGAACTGACGGGGAAAGTACCAAATGATTCAAACATAAACTGCTGTTGTATAACATTTCTGATAATATTGATATGATTTTATTCAATGTGTGTGTAATGAAATTTAAGAAATTATAATGAATAAATAATAAATACTATCTGGTCATAACACACTGCCTTCTTACGAACTTCGTACAAAAAATTGAACCGGTGCCATCCATGAAGGCCTATTTGTCAAGTGGTATCCCTACATTGGTACTGTGTAGAAGGGATTTACAACACTAATGAGAGAAAACTAGAAACTACATACCTCTTATCCACTTGTTGCAGCAATTCTAGGATCCCAAGGATATGATCCAGTGAACTGCATACTTCAGAGGACTTCGATGATGATGTCTTTTGTTAGAGAGGATCCCACATTCCTGTTAAAATGAATGCAGCAGATCTATGGATGACGCAAATGTCTGAAGACAACCAATACGTTGAGCCAACCCAGATGACTAACCCTAAAGGAGTAACAAATACAAGGTAATTAACCCCGACTTTTTAAATTAAAATAATAATTTCCAAGCAGATGAAAATATTCAAGCATTCAAATACTTTTTAAGACTTGCAAATTATGAGGAAAAAGAAATCAAATGGAATTTTACTTTTTCTTTGTTTGGCTGCATTGGAAAATTGTGCAGGACAACATTTTAAGGGAGTTTTCTTGTTTTAAAGTAACCCAGTTTTCATTATAAAACAGTAAGGAAAATGGGGAAACATGACTAACCACCAAAGGAGGACAATCACATTTCTAATAAATGGATTCTTTATGTTTTTACTTTTTCTTCCTCTTTTTCCCTCGTCATTTCCTTTCCCTTTCTTTTTCGTTTTACCTCACTGTTCCAGGGAAACCCAAAAGAGCCTATGTGTATCTATGAAACAACAAAATCCATACTTTATGAGGGTTTGTGAACTCCTAAGGGTACACTTTGACAGCACCTTTTCTTTGACATTACCTAATAACCAAGGTTTTAAGTAAAGGTGGCAGCTACCAGAATGGTAACGATAGCATTGATGCGACTGCGGAAAGTAACAGCCGTAGCATAATAATTGTGGCAGTCGACCAAAGCCATAAATTTTTTGATTCTTCGCACAACTTCAAGAAAACATACTAACAAACATGTTTTCATTTCAAAATCACATTTTCGTGTGTTTTGTTTAGTTTTTAAATATGATCCAATATGTGTACTAATTTTTATGTAAGGTTTAAGTCACTATAGGGATTTTTCCTATTGTTGGATGTATTTAATTTTCTTTACTTTACTAATTATACTTGTAGATAACTTCCCACTTGTTAAGAAGAAAAAAACGAAACATGTTTAATATTAAAAATGATAATCTCATAAACATAAGTTCATACATAATACAAAATATCAACATACTAATGTAAAAGTACTTAACATGATATACAAATTTTGTTCAATAAATTTGACCCAAGAGCAAATATAGATATAATATATTAATATTCAAAGAATCAAGTGAGAAATTAATGAAAGTTTGGAGAGAGAGAGAGAGAGAGAAGTAAGCTCATTTAACTTTGATAGCAACTCAAGTCTTGTAAAACTTGAATATTGGACATTCAAAACGTGTAGCTCTAAGATTTTTGCATAAGTTCTCTATCCTTTTTGCGCGATTTTAACAACTAGACAAAAATGGCCTTATATACAAAATCTATAAAATAAAATAAAATAAATAATAAAAAATAGAAGCATATGATCGTAATGGCGGCAAAGGTCAAATGAATAAATTTGATCAAAGAGCAAATATAGATATAATATAAGTTAATATTCAAAGAATCAAATGAGATTAATGAAAGCTTTTCAACAAAAAGGTAATGAAGTTTGGAGAGAGAGAGAGAAAGAGAGAGAAGTAAGTTCATTTAACTTCAATATCAACTCAGGTCTTGTAGAACTTGAAGATTGGACATTCAAAACTTGTAGATCTAAGATTTTCACATAAGTTCTATATTCTTTTTGTGCGATTTTAACAACTAGAAAAACGGGAAATGAGAAAAATGGCCCTATATACAAAATCTATAAAAATAAAATAAATATATTAAAAAAATAGAAGCGTAATGATTGTAATGGCAGCAACGAAATTGTAACGGCACTGTAATGGCCATTACGACCTTCACGCAACAGTGGCAACCATTACGAATGTGAATTTTGTCACACCACCATAGCGGCCGTAACAGGTGGCAGTAACAGTCATGGAAGCTTTTTAAAACTATGCTAATAACAGAAATTCTGGTGGCCAACAACAGTTAATCAGGGAACATAAAGAGTGCCAGAAGAACCTTTAGGAACAAAAACTGAAGGGAAGAACTAGTTGGTGGAGATATAAAGAGAGCCTTCAAAAGCAAAGAGGAGGTATCTAACATTGACTCGCTAGCCGTTATACTTGGTTGTAGAGTTTTACTACGTAATCCAATTAACATTACTTTATCTAGTTTTCCTACACATTTTATGTCCTCGTATGCTATTACTATCACTGGTGCTAAGATAGTGTTTGGTTCACTAGAATGAAGTCAAACAGAATAATCATTCTATCAAAATATCCATTCACATATTTGGTTGACTAAAAAACATAATGAAATATGCATTGCAACTGAAATCATCAATCACCATTGTAAGAAAATGATCATTCCATAGGGGAGCTTAAAGAATGACCAGTCCGTTTCATTCCATCTCTTTCCAATGAACCAAATAGAGTGAGAGATTAGAAAAGCAATGGAGCAATTTTTGTACGGTAGAATGGAGGAGGAATTCAAGTAACCATTTGGTAGACTAGGACTCAATTTGTACTCCTATTATAGGATAGGGACTTGGTATCAAGAAGTTAGAAATGCTTAATCAAGCTTTATTGGGGAAGCGGAGGAAAAGTTTTGTGGGTGTGAGGGATATATGATGAAGAATGGTAGTAGCTCTGTAGTATGGGTGTGATTTAGGGGATTGGAACCCTCTAGAAGTGTCTATTTCTTATGGCATATTTGGAAAGGTGTTAGAAAGGAGTGGGAACAAGTTTGTGGTGAATATTAGCATGGTGGTGGAAGCGGGGAGAAGGGTGAAGTTTTGGTCTTCAAAAGAGTAAGCATTGTAACTTTGTGCACTTAGGTTGTGTTTGGACAATGGCTTTGGATAGGTCTTTGGAAAGGAAAAGGTGAAGGAAATTTGCATGAAATATAAGACAATTTTTTTCTCATTTTTCCTTTCTCTTTCCAAATCCCTACGCAAATGCATAATCCAAACACAGCCTTACTGTTTGCTATAGATGAAGATAATGATGAAAGAGAAATCTAACATCAAACCTTAGAGGATGGCAGGGGCAAAAAAGCTTCACACGAGGCCTTTCTAGGTTCTGTTAGCTGTCAAATCTCTCGAAGTTGTTATGCTATATCTTCTACAAGTTGCAGTTGAAAATTTTCCCTTTCCCGATAGTCCACAGAGAAGTTGAGCTTCTGTCTTCATTCCTGCACAATGCTTAACCTCTCTCCGATTCACTCAACTTCCATGTCTATTTTCAATCTTTCATCGTCAATTGCTGACATCAAATTTTTCTGCAGATCAAAAACTATAGATTTCTCTACATCTCCTTGCTTGAAAATCAGCTTCTTCATTCCATCCGGAAATTCATAATTCCTCTCCAAGGGCAAGGGTGTACAGTTTTGCTTATCAATAGACAATACCTCATTAACTGAACTTTTATCCTTTACAATTTCCTTCTTGTCAATGGATTCACTAAGCTATTGGAGCATCAGCCTGTTCTCTCTGTGTGTTCACCATACACTGAATGTCATCTTGTAACTGTTAATTTCCAATGTGAATCATCCGCCTATAAGCTTCAACTTCCCTTTCCAAGAAATGCTTCTCTTTCTGTCTGCTCACCAGAATTTCTTTAAGGATGTTCATTTCTTCAGCATCATAAGCAGATTTTTCTTCTATTATCCTCTGGTATTGCCAAGCCTCCATTTCTATGGATGCCTTCTCATCTTGTAGACGCAGTATCACAGCCATGACCTCATCTGCAGCTGTAGCAGCAGCACTTCTCTCCTTCTCAAGCTCAAGGTAAAGAGCAGCATGAGCAGCGTGCTCTTCTTCAAGTGCCTGTTCCAAGATTCTGATCGCATTTTTCTCATTACCTTCATAACCCAGTTCCTTCTGCACATTACTCTTTGTCTCTTCATAGGATGATTCACTTCTCTCTGTGAGTTTCTTTTCATGAAGAGTTTCATCCAACTGAAAGCCATGTGAAGCTCTATCCCCAAAATTCTTAACAACTGGAGCATCCTCATCATCTAAATCACATACCACACACAATAAAATTGCCATGCATCGTATTAGTAATAACCTAAGCATGGATCTATGAATGCTTCCATTTATGTTGTGTAAGATTCCATGTAAAATCTGATACACCAAGCAAGAAGTCATGGCAACACATGCCAAGACATTGTTTAGAAATGGGTGAAAAGCTCATGCCCTGAGGGCACAAGCAATAATTCTTGAGGTTTAAACATTCAAGCTTACAGATTAAAGTGCTAATTGAAAAAGAGACATAAAAATTGTACTTTCCATATATGTATTGGTGGTATGGTAGTCCATTTGTTTAAAACCAGAACAACCTCTTCATTTCTTTTTCTTTTTCTTTTTCTTTTTCTTTTTCTTTTTCATTTTTTTAAATGCATTTTGATCACCTGAATGGTTCCTAAGGGGTGAGTTTAACCAATATCAAAAATTAAAATAATCCCCTTACAAGCCATCTTACACACACACACACTCACATATATGAATAATTTTGATCATCTGAAGGGCTCTGTACTTTTCCAGTTTTTCTGTTCTTTGCTTTAAGGATTTTAAAATATAACTCCTTCAAAAGCTTTTAATATGTGTATATGGGACCTCCAAGTCTGTCCTTGAAAACCCCAGGAAAATTTACAAATCCTTTTTTTAAAACTAACCAAAGAATTTCAAAACCAGGGAATTTCACATCCCTTTATGGTTTAAAATCTCTTCTCATCTCTTTGCCAAATATGGCCAAGATATTTTAAAAAATCTGTAAGACATAATTTCACTCTTCGCTCGTATACAGGATATATGCATTGTCAGTGGAAATTGTGACTTTTCATGCATGGCATATACAGGGAACAATTTTTGTAAGTTAGTGCACATACAACACTAAGCTTGTTCAATTTCTTTATTCAGCTGTAAGATTATAGCACAACTTCTGTTGATTTTAAAAATGTGAAAATGCATACACATACACATGAGTCCACAAAATGAAACACAAAAGCCTCTCTTCTGTTTTTTCTTTTCCTTTTTAGTTAAGGTGCAAAGTTTCGGATGAAATAAAGAAAACGGATAGAATACAAACCAAGATCAAAATCAACACTCACAATTAAAGTGATTAGCATCAGCTCCAGAATTGACAGGCAGTGAACTGCATTCAATCTCATTATTCCCTTTACGATTGATGTTAGAACATGACCGATCATCTGCAAATGAAGGGTCAAACGACACAGGCGAAACTTTTGCATAATCGGCAAGACCTTTTCGGCGTCGCCTAAGACCATTCCTTGGCCTCTGATTTACAATCCCCTTACCCTTGAGATCAAACCTTCCCTTCTTGACATGAACTGATGAATTCACTACATCAAACACCCTAACCGAATCATTCCTCAAAATCAAGTCCCTTTCAACCACATTTTGCAACTTCCTAGCACCTGATATTGAGCTACAAGACGCTTTGCCTTCCATTTCAACAAACCCATCAACACAATTGTTTTGATCTCTAATTAACTTCAAATTCATTTGGCAATCTCGGTTTTTCTCCCAAATTGAATCAAAGGGAAACTTTGTGTTCACAGACAGTTGAACAGAAGAGACTGTCTCAATTGGGCAATCAATTAACAGCCTCTTCAAGCAGTAATTGCTATTGGAGGTACCAAATAGGCCATTACAAGGACATGGTAAGAAAAGCCCCAAAAAACCCAGAAATTTGGAGGCGAAAAATGCAAGAGTGGATGCACAGAGTAAGAGATAAGCAATAGCAAGATCAAGAAAATCACCCACTAACCCACTAAATGTCCATGAATGAACAGCCTGGCATGCCATTTGGGTTCTGCAAAATCACTTTTTACTTCTTTATTTAAGATTCAAAACGAGCACACCACAATCCTATACCCTTGTTTGTTTCCAGAAAAAAACTGAGGGAAAAAAATAAAAAAATCAATACACAACTTGTTGGCCAATAAGGAAGATAATAAAAGATGAGAGAGAGAGAGAGAGAGAGAGAGAGAGAGAGTTACCAAGAAGAAAGAAAAGGACAGGGAATGAGATTCACAGTGAGAAGCTTCCTTTTCTTGTTGTTGGTTGGTTGGTTGGTTGGTTGTTTTGATTTTTCAAAACCCTAACGTTCAATTGTACTAGTGAGTATGAAAATAGGTCCAAGAACATTACAAAAGATAAAAGCAAAGATATGTACAAGGGTTATTGTTGTTGGTTTGCTCACATGGAAGTGCGTGCGCTTTTGTTTTGTATTTTCCACGTAGATACCTGTCCCTTACCCCCCAAATATTTGCCTCCTTTGATAATTAGCTATTTTAGTTGAGTTTTTAAAATTTTTTTAATACAAACTTCATTTTATTTTTGTAATTTTGATTATATACAATTTATTTTTTTAATATTTAAAAATGATCACATAATTTTTTTTGTGATTTGTAAATTAAAATATATTGTTAGGGCTATTAACAATTTAACAAAAAAAATTAAAATATTCTTATATTTTTTTCATTTATTTGGGAAGTAATGCACTTTAACCCTATATACTTTATTTTATATGCGATTTACTCCCTTAAAATTAAAAAAAAAATGAGCATATAACCCTTTATATTTATTACCTATTTCACACCTGTTGTTAAGTTGAACAAAATATTCAATGATATTTAAAATTCAATCCACAAATTACATAGTAATTACGAAAGCCGAACTCAATAACCTGTTAGAAGTAGGTTTTGGCTTGCCTCTTTCTATGTTATTCTTAAAGCGCTAACGCGCCCCTACAATCAAACAAACAAAGAAGTTGGTAGCAATATAACTACCTCTAAACTACTAGAGACAGTCATTTACAATAATTAGTCTACCTAAGCTACATTATAAAGAGGTGTTTAACACCATGTGCTCGTTGAACAATTTCGAAGTAGCAAGATGAGTGAATGACGGTGTTGTAAGTAGTAGTGAATACTCGTTACATGGAGACAAATCCCGTCTTGTTTACTCACTAGTAAGCAAAATCATAGATTTTGATCTTACTTACGAATGTAGCTATTTCTAAATGTTAGGAAAGTAAATTACACATAACTCAAATTACAAAAGCTAAAATTAAACAAAATAATAATAATAATAATAATGTGACAATTTATAATACTTTTTTTACTATAAAACCAACTTTCAAAATGAATTTAATTAATTCCACGTGTATCATGCGGTGTTGCCTATACTATACTATTATATAAAACAAGAATAATGTATTTTTTTAATGTTTAAAAATGATCACATAATTTTTTTGTGATTTGTAAACTAAAATATACTGTTAGGGCTATTAACAATTTAATAAAAAAAATTAAAACATTCTTATATTTTTTTCATTTATTTGGGAAGTAATGCACTTTAACCCTATATACTTTATTTTATACGCGATTTACTCCCTTAAAATTAAAAAAAAAATGAGCATATAACCCTTTATATTTATTACCTATTTCACACCTGCTGTTAAGTTGAACAAAATATTCAATGATATTTAAAATTCAATCCACAAATTACATAGTAATTACGAAAGCTGAACTCAACAACCCGTTAGAAGTAGGTTTTGGCTTGCCTCTTTCTATGTTATTCTTAAAGCGCTAATGCGCCCCTACAATCAAACAAACAAAGAAGTTGGTAGCAATATAACTACCTCTAAACTACTAGTGACAATCATTTACAATAATTAGTCTACCTGAGCTACATTATAAAGAGGTGTTTAACACCATGTGCTCGTTGAACAATTTCGAAGTAGCAAGATGAGTGAATGACGGTGTTTGTAAGTAGTAGTGAATACTCGTTACATGGAGACAAATCCCGTCTTGTTTACTCACTAGTAAGCAAAATCATAGATTTTGATCTTAGTTACGAATGTAGCTATTTCTAAATGTTAGGAAAGTAAATTACACATAACTCAAATTACAAAAGCTAAAATTAAACAAAATAATAATAATAATAATGTGACAATTTATAATACTTTTTTTACTATAAAACCAACTTTCAAAATGAATTTAGTTAATTCCACGTGTATCATGCGGTGTTGCCTATACTATACTATTATATAAAACAAGAATAATGTTTGGGACCCCCTTTTGGGGAGACCCCCATTACCCCCACAATAATGTGGACCAATGATGTATTTGTATTTAGTTATTTTTTTATTTTCTCTTTCTTACTTGGACCAATCACAAGTGAGTGGGGGTTGTGGGGGTGATGTTTTGTGGGGGTCTCAATCATTACTGATAAAACAAAGGACAACAAGGGGTTGAACCGTAGGTTCCCTAAACAAAGATTCTTACCAATTCAATGACACATAATTTGTAATTAATATTTTATTTTATTTTAACTTATTTAAATTTTATAGATATTGTGTTTTGAATATGTGTAAATTACATTGACATTTTTTGAGATTTCTATTATATAGATCTTATTTCACATTTAAAAAATTACATTTATCCTTCGTCAGATTAAAATGACATATTTGCCCCTTAACCTTTATACATATTAAATAATAAAATAATATTGATATTTTGTTTATGTCATTTCAAGAGAAATAACAAATCTTCTTTAGTTTAACTCATACAAAAAATTGAATTTTTTTATTTTTCATTTTTTTTAACAGAATATTTTGTTTAATATTTTAAGCAATTTTTATTTTTATTTTTTAAATACACCTAATCTAGATATACTTAAGAAAAAAATATTTTTTTGAATTTTTAAATTCACTAAATACAAAAAAAAAAACAATAATATTGTAACAAATGTGAATAACGGTGTTTGGTAATACTGTAATAAATGTGGGTGAATAGACAAGAAAGAAAAATGATTGTACAAATAAAAATTAAAAATTTTATTCATATATAAAATTTTATATAAAAAATAACATAAAAATATTGTGATAGTTATGTTGTTGTAAATATAAATCATGTTTATAGTGTTTTGTTTTAAAGTGAAAAGTCACCATTAAACTATATTATTGTGTTTGAAAATTTTATATAAAATTTATGTTTATATATCAACATTCAATAAGAATATGTTTAGATAGAATTTAATGATGAAAAGTGTAAAATATAGTTATGATAATAGAAAGAAGAAATGGTAAAAAAAAATGACAAAATGGTCATTCAGAAAATCTTAGAGCATGACATCAGCAATTTAAGAGATAATTTGTAATACGATTATAAATCTCAAAGAAAGAAATGTAATGTTTTAAACGTAAGAAAAATTTGTATTAAACAGAAATCTCAGATAATGCCAGTGTAATTTACCCTTTGAATAATAATGGTTACTCGTGTCCGTCAACATGTGATGTTGCTGGCTTTGAGAACTTCTAAATAAATTTTTTTTTTTTTTTTTTTTATCTGATTTCTCTCTAGTCCTAAATCGAATTAGAGGGTACTGTTAGACCATGGAGCCCACCACGAATTCCATTTTAATAATCCAAATCATTCAATTTATTACTTATCGAGTACTATATACTTGTAAAAACATCACTTTAAAATCATCGAGATAATGGAATGGTTTATGTTACGGGGATGCTGTTATAGAATAGGTTATGTTACTGTGCTTTTTTCCAACGACTTTGCTAATGGATTTGGACTGAGAGACCACACTGAAACTCACTTGAAGATGCAGGGTCTGTGCTTAAATGGAAATTGTATGGTTCGGAATTTCATACCCAAACATGTTGATTTTGTTCAGTGTCCAGCTGAATAAAATGAATTTGTTTAAATTTCAAAGTCTGAACAGTAATGGCGTTAAACAGGTTCAATATTCATTTTCACGTAAAATAAAAGATAGAAATCAAGAATTATACTTTGATATTTATGTGAATACTTACCTCTTTTTTGATGGGTTGTTTCAAAAAACAGTTTTTATTATTAATTGTTTGATTTTGTTCAAATTTTCTTTTATTCGCAAGGATAAGAAACAATGATGTGATGATAATGGTGAGTTCGGTGGGGTGGTTTGGAATTTTGGAGTGAGAGAGAAAAAGAAGAGAAAATAATTGAAATTTGGTACAAAAGATAAAGAATACGTATATATGATTAAAGTATACCATGAGAAAAAAAAAATATTTATTTTAGAATTTAATATGTGTTGTCCTTATGAGTAAATTTACATTATGATATATTAGTAAGAATTAAAATTACAAAATATTAAATTAATTAGATGTACTTAATGATTTTTGGGGTATAAATAGAATGCCCTCACATAAATGTGTCACTCATTCATTTGAATCCATGACTTGCTGAAATTTATTTTTTGGGCATTAATAAATTCCAATGTGTTCATCCTTGTTCGTACACAAGTGAAAATTTTGGGAATTTAAGTTAGGTTGTGTAGGTTTTCATTGCTCTATTGAAAAAGTCTTCCATGATTGATACAGTCCTGACCTCTTCCCTATATGCAACACAACCGCCATTCATACAGAATGACAACCACCACTAGCCAACTTCATTACTGACCTGAACAACCATTTTAACCTAACCTTCTGTTTAATTTTTTAAAAAAATATTTTTGGGTATTTTTTTGAAGTCTAGTACATTGAAAATGAAATTCAATGACAACGTTAATGATGTAATTTTCGAATAGAACAGCTTGCTATGATACATTTCGAGTCGTGTTACAGATGTCACTTTTCTAAAGATAATATTTGCTCCCACCAGTTGGTGTGCACCGAATTTCCAGTAAAATCACCTTCAAGATACAATGAAGTTGATCTTAGAATCTTCTGTTTGTATTTTCACAAATGAAGATAGATTAAAATACCTTCGTATACCAGAGAACCGGGGACAATAGTTTCTATTGGAAAATATTTTATGTCTATTCTCTAACAATATCAACCGCCCCCGAGGAAGAGAGAGCTAAAAAGGAACAGAGAAAATGCAACTAACACTCAGCAAGAAAGAAACAAGGATAGACCTCTTTTCAACTACATAGTGAAGCTCTTACTATACCCAAGTTTTGTCAAAATCCACCACAATATAACACTTCCATAAAATAGACACAGCAGGAACAACATATTTAGGAATAAGAAGAACCTACCATTAGTAAATTAAAACTATAAGTCACAGAAATTGTTTTGAATTCTACAGTAATATAGAGTATGAATGTTACAGTATCTGCACAACAGCATGTTTAAGTAATGTACTTTAGACAATTTATAGTTAATTTGACTCCATTTAACTTTCTGCCACAAGAATCTCATCATCAGCATCGATTCCAACCCAATTGATCAAAGCAAAGAGGAACTCTCTGAAGCTAACCTTCCCTTTCTTTCCCAGTCCATTTCTTCTGCATTCATACAAAGCAATCACTAAGATAAGGTAAAGTAACTTTAAGGCAATGCAACCACGGATTTACTACAAAGCAGAATGGAAAAAGATGTCGGTGATACCAAATCGAGTCCTTGTAATGTGTGCTGGGGAAATCTCCAGAGGAGAATCCCCATTTAGTGCTTTGACCATGTCTTTCTTGTTCAGCTTTCCATCACCATTTTTGTCAAGAAACAAGAATGCTTCGATTATAGAATCAAACGTGGCTTCAAGCTGTGGCGATCCCATCTTCGATGTCTTAAAAAACATCCCCAGGATAAGAAAAATGAATTGGCAGTAAATGTTGACCTAAACAAGTGAACTTTGCAATTGAAAAAAAAATTGTTATGGGTTAATTGTGTTTAGAGTGTGAGGAGAGTTCGAGTGATCCATTAGGAGATAAATCAGACACAAAAGAACAATAAACTCTTTGAATTGTATCCCTTCACTCCCATCTACGTCGCACGAGTGAAAAAGATGATCAATTTCCTTCTCTGTAAGATGGAGTTGCAATTTCTGTAAGCATTTCTTGAGTTCCTCAAGGTCAACAATAGTTCCATTAGAATCTTCATCTGCTTAGAGTTAACAGAGAGATTGATCAGTTTGTAACATTACTCCATAAAAATATTTTTCTTTGTAAGAAAAGCAACCTTTATTTCCAGATGGACTTCTCTTGACTTCCATCATTTTCTTTTCAAGCTTAGTGTCTAACCTCTTATACTTGTTTAGCGAATTATGACAGCAGAGCATACCTCCTACTTTGTTGGACAATGACTTCAGAGAAGGGCTAGTGTGAGACCGGCCTTAAGAACAAAAAACCCAACAAGCAAACTGAATTTAAGCACAATAAGCAAGATCAAATTTGGACTGTGATTTGTTTTCACACTAACAAGCAGCATGAAACAATTTGTCTGGTCTTATAATGGGCTAAGACTGCATACATATTTCCCTTAAAGTGGGAAAAACAAATGCATCCTAAAAGTACCTAGGCGGCAATGCTCAGCACCCATATGTCATTCCAAGCAAAGCGGCAATATATGTCATCTATCAGAGCAACAACAAAAAGCTTCCACTCCTTAGCTCAAAGAGAATGGAAGATGAGAGGCAAAGGAAGAGGGTAAAAATTGGCTCAAATGAACATAGAGCCCACCTTGCCCTACATGGTATGATCTTATTGGTTAGGTCTGGCTAGCACCGCACTGTTCAAAGACACCTCGGATGTCTTTCAATCCCTCTTTGATCTGAGGGAACCTCATGATTATGCCATTGATTGATCTGAAATTTTTATTTCCAGATGGACTTCTCTTAACTTCCATCATTTTCTTTTCAAGCTTAGTGTCTAACCTCTTATACTTGTTTAGCGAATTATGACAGCAGAGCATACCTCCTACTTTGTTGGACAATGACTTCAGAGAAGGGCTAGTGTGAGACGGGCCTTAAGAACAAAAAACCCAACAAACAAACTGAATTTAAGCACAATAAGCAAGATCAAATTTGGACTGTGATTTGTTTTCACACTAGCAAGCAGCATGAAACAATTTGTCTGGTCTTATAATGGGCTAAGACTGCATACATATTTCCCTTAAAGTGGGAAAAACAAATGCATCCTAAAAGTACCTAGGCGGCAATGCTCAGCACCCATATGTCATTCCAAGCAAAGCGGCAATATATGTCATCTATCAGAGCAACAACAAAAAGCTTCCACTCCTTAGCTCAAAGAGAATGGAAGATGAGAGGCAAAGGAAGAGGGTAAAAATTGGCTCAAATGAACATAGAGCCCACCTTGCCCTACATGGTATGATCTTATTGGTTAGGTCTGGCTAGCATGTGTCGCGTGGCATGAAACTAAATCACAAGTATGACTAAAGGAGAATAATTTATTTACTTTTAGAAGGGATATTCCAAAGAATATTCTAAGAAGCATCTAGACATACTTGATTACTAAGAAAAGTTCTAGAATACATACACCTACCTCCATAGGTTAAGGCAAGCCATCATTCATTATACACTCTTTACTCTAGGAATATCCATTGATCCCTTCTTGAGGATCGTGGATTGACTTGAGCATCGAAGTGCTCCCGGCCGACCAACGGTTAGGCACTAACAATGGTTTTTTTTGTTGATTACGAACACATGGTGGTCGGTCATCATTTCCGTTGGCTTCTCATCAAGTAGGCTATGATTTGTTACCCCTACAGGTGCCACATGGACATTTTATGAAAAGGAAAAACTTTATTTGATATTTTCCCAAATAACTAGGAAGTGTAGCATATTAGTGAAGAAGATGGAAAAAAGAATGCCAATCCAACTTTGATCAGATCAATCAAGTACCCAAAATCCTATTACATGATGAAACACATTGATAAAAGTGTAAAAATCATTTGCTACAAAAATCAGCAATAGGGTTCTCTTATATATTAATTATATGATGACAAGCTCATGATCTGTGCAATAACAAACATCTACAAATTGATAGCTTTAACTTAAGTGGATACTCATTTGAAATAATGAGATTGTAAGTTTCAGAGATATGTATGTTCTAATGGCAATGTTGAGAAAACAAGGTTAATAAATTAAAAGAGATGAAGAAACAAAGACTTACCCAATGAATCCTTCGTGGTTTCTGGTGTGAGAGATGACATATCTGAGTATTCCTTCAAACATTTATATACATGGGTCTGTATATCTCTGTGTGTGTGTGTGTGTGTGTGGGACTAACATTGAATATGACATGAAGGAGGACAAGCAAAGGAAAAGTAAAAGGGAATTGGGTTCAGGGCCTTTTGGCAAAGTGAAGTGGAAATGCCTTTAAGCATTATGGCTTCGAATTGAAATCTCTCTCTTTCTTTCAAGTGGAAGATTGCTTTGAGAACATTCTCTCTTAACTATTGTACTTGTTTGGCTTTTAGAAATGGCAATTCCGTTACATATTCAGACAAAATACTTAAAATTTTATTTAAAATTTAAATACCTAGACAAGATTCATTTTATTTACGACTCATAATAGATCATCTTCAAAATGTTTACAATACATTTTACTTGGAAAAATTATATATAATTTTTCATGATACATTTCTTCCACATGCACTCGAACATTTGACCTTCTAATAGTCCATGTGTTTAGTTTCAGTTTTCTGAATTTAATTTTCTAAAAATGTATTTTTGTTTTTTGTGTTTTTTTTTTTATTTTTAGGGAATATTTTTAAAATTTTAATCATTTTTTTTTATTTTTTTAGATACATCTTACTTAGATATATATATATATATATATAAAAGTAAAATATTTGTGAAAAATTATTTTAAAAAGTTAATATATACACAAAAATACGAAAAATATACTGAATTTTCAAAAATAAAAATTTGTATTTTTGGTATTTAATAAATTTTCTAATGATTTTTTTTATGAAAATTATACTTTTTAAGTGTATTTATATTATGTGTGTCTAAAAATTTTTAAAAAAAATACTTAAAATATTAAAAAAATTCAGTAAAAATTAAAAAAAAAATGAAAAATAAGAAAGTAAAATCTTCTAAAAAGTGTTTTCAAAAAACTGGAAACAAACATTAGAAATTAATTATTCAATAATCCCAAGATACTCGAAATTTGACAAAATAAACAAACACCCACCGAAGGACACATTCACAAGCCAAATATTCTGCTAATGACATTTTTTCCAAGTCAACAGACAATTTAATTGCTCAACACAGAAAGTTAAAAGGTATCCTAATTGTATTTACCAAAGATCACATCTATCTTTAATCTGCGTTATAACCCTCAATGCATTGCAAACTAAAGAAAGAGCTTTCAAATGTCCACCGCTGTATGAGATGCAACTTGAAATTGACTTTAAAAGGTCTCCCCAAACACAAATTATCAGCTTTGAGAATATACAAACCACTGACGTTGCAGTTGGAAACACCGGACTCGACTCCTCGTTTAGATCAACTAGATGAAAACAATAAACCAAAGAAAAGAGAAAATTAAAAGTTTATTTCTCAGCAGTTCGTCCACTCCAAAGGGATGGAATCACCATTGCTAAACAAGGGCCGTGGTCTCTTTTTCAGTGCAGCCACCGCCTGAGAAGCCACACTACCCATTGGAGAAACGGGACTTCCATTTGAGGTCAAGCAACTGTCAACAGAGCAGTTGCCGAACCGAGCAGGCAGATTAGAAGCAATCTTGTTTTCTATAGACACGGCAAGTTGGGAGAGAGAAGACATTTTTAGGGTCTCAACTGGGACCATCCCATTACAGTCATTTGAAACCTTGATCGCCAGTTCTGAGAGCTCTTCTCTGGCTGCTTCAAGCCCAGCAGTTGCAGCAGCCTGGTCATTCAGAGCTTTACAAGCTTTCTCGAGGATTGACTGCAAGTACTTGCCTTGTGCTTCAATCCGAATTTGGAGACGACGCTGAACCTGGTTCCAGTAGAATCGTAATGATAAGCTTCTTTACAATAATAAATTTATAATCCAATCGAAAAATAAACTCATTCACGGAAATTCTATTGCACCTGAGGTTTCTGAGAAAATTACACGTAGCCCCAACATGGATTTTTGAAATTAAAAGTTCATTGAGATTGACACAGATATCCTCTGTTAAGTCACCATTGAATCTCGTGATTGAAAATGACGACTTTGAGTTTTGTGCCAAGACGATATTTTCACTCTTATTTGCCTTAATGAGATCATGAAGCTCCTATTTATGGTTTTTCTTTTTTCTTTTTTTCTTGTCTCTTAATTTGCTAAGAGAAGGGCATACAAGTTAAAAATAAATAAAAACAATTAAAAAAACTTTAGAAAAACCCTTTTGAGGCAAAAAAGACGGTGACAACTGCATTTTTATTGCCAGATTGAGCATCAAGTAACAAGGTGAGCTCAGTTTTACAATGTCATAAATAAGAAAACAAAGTGTAATTCCAGGACCATTGGAAGTCTTCACTGTTCTAAAAACTCCATAAGACCAAACTGTACACACAGACTTTTCTTTCACTACAAAGCATGTGTAATGCTTTTCAATAGGAATGGACTCCTTTTTTTTAAAAATATTAAAAATAATACTACTTAAATAAAAATAAATAAATAAATAAATCATCACTTTTTGGAGATGGAGCTAACGAAGTACTAAAAATGAAATGGAAAAGTATACGGACACCGAAAAACTCGAAACACCGAAATTACTGATGTGAGAGAAATGTTCACATATCTATACATGCAAACATCATCTATAGATGCAAACATTGTGTCACATCGGTGACTTGGGTAATCGAGATTTCCGGTGTTCGTAGTACCACTCAATTAAATTCCAATAAACTGCATTTTATATATATGTTTGTGTATATTTTTCTATTGTCAAAGGGAAATCTTTCTTCATCTCACCATGGTTTTTATCCAGTCTAAAAAAAAAAAACGAAATTACTGATGTGAGAGAAATGTTCACATATCTATACATGCAAACATCATCTACAGATGCAAACATTGTGTCACATCGGTGACTTGGGTAATCGAGATTTCCGGTGTTCATAGTACCACTCAATTAAATTCCAATAAACTGCATTTTATATATATGTTTGTGTATATTTTTCTATTGTCAAAGGGAAATCTTTCTTCATCTCACCATGGTTTTTATCCAGTCTAAAAAAAAAAAACAAAACAAAACAAAAATGCCACACAGTTCTACTTCTCACCTCATTTCCTTACTCCTAGACACAAGCAAATGAACCCCCTTACATGTATATATTTAATGTGGGCCCCACTGCCTTGAGTATGAGACTCAGACGATGAGATGAGAAATGAGACCATGTATATATAGCATCACTCATAAATAAATATCGCATGGATAATTCATTGTTTCAGTTAAGGTGACTTTGTTTTGTTAACTACTGTATGTGGGGTGGCTTGTGGCAACAATGGTTTTTTCTTTTCTTTTTCTTCTTCTTTTTATTTTATTTTATTTTTTTGTAACTAATGGTTTCAAGATTACCATGAACCCATGTTGACTGTGGGAAAAACACTTTCTAGAAGCAAATATAGAACCAACAAAAGAGACCTTGCGTCGAAGTCAATAAGCTGATATTTAAGGAACACACACATAAGCAAGAAATTAACCTCCAGCTGTTCATGCAATCTTCGCTGGACCTCCATCTGTACTCGCAAAGCCTCAGTAACCTGGAAGCCACTGTTTAAAAGATGCAAAAGCAGCAAAATGTGATGGCAAGCAATTAGACAAACTTTCGTGGCAAAAAGAAGAAAGGAATAACTGCTCGGCTTCAGTGCTTATGTGTCTTGGACATGCTAAAAATTAAAATTTAAAACAGAAGGAAAAAGTGTGTAACATACTCATTTAAATCTTGAGCTAGTTTTGATGATGATGATGTACATGAACCAGTGTCTTGACTCTCAGCAATGCAAGACGCTGCAATTCCAATTACACAATAGCGATGAATCAATAAGAATTTCAACTACTAATACTAATGTCATGAAACATCCATTGTTTTCACTCCCTGATGCATCAGATATTCATCTGCTTCCTCTCTTCAACGACATGCTCCCTCATATCCCACATACACCACACACACCCCAAAACCAGACCTTCAAGATATGAACTTAATGGAAATTAGGATTCTCAGGTTATGCACTGGAGGAGATGACAGGTCAGAAGATTGTATGCAGAAAAAGAATTCCAAATAATTCCATAGCCTCTTCATGAAACTTCATGTTCCAAGTACAAGTTTAGGTACCCCATGCTAAGGATTTTCATATTTTATGCCTAGACATTTCCAATTTTAGGTGGATTTCTGTGCTGTCACATTTGTGTGCATTTAAATTTTCAAGTAGTTCTATCTTATTTTTATTAGCTTGATTTGAAGATCACCTTAAATTCAACATACAAATGTAGTAGATGGGCTAAATTTCATATGGTTTATCAATAACACAATGTACAAACTACTAAGCATTATAGTGAGCACAAGGTTGATACCATCTTTAGAGCTGTCAGGTAACTCCTTGCAAGATTGCTTCCCCAAACGATATTTCTGCAAAAATGAGACACCAAATACTACGCCTGTGAATCCGTTAAAGATTGTTATCTATAGAGTCAGCAAATGAGCAAAGCTAGTAACAAATCAACAGAAATGAATCTGAAAAAGATTGGTTCAAATTGGTATTCAAATGTTCAACCCCTTCCAATAGGAAAGCTCAAAGAGTCTTTTCTTTTTCTCGTATTTTCCTTTGTGCTTGTGAATAGGTAGGGTCATGGGAAGGAGGTTTGACATGTGAGCATGTCAAACAAACAAAACTAGAGAACAATATCAAATTATATGCACACAAAAAAATTGGAAACAACAAACCTGAAGATGTGATTTCAAGTGATAAAGGGTAAGACCCTTTACCCCCATTGTTCTCATAATTGTCTTAGGTGTTGCTTCTGCAATTCACATTAAAATAAAATTCAAAATTAGCTCACTACACCAATATATAATTTTAGAAAGAATTAATCATGAGAGTATGAGAATAATATTAGTATAGTGTATATTATGTGAATATTGTTTCCCATTTAAGATTG